TTGTAGGAGTAGTAAATTACATAAATTAGTGGCTACTTTTCCTTGCCCCCTGGTCATCATCTTACTTTAAGCCAGGTTTTGCACATTGAGCAACCCAGCTAAAAACAACAGGCTTAAAGAGTAATTAAAAGACTTTGGAAGTGTGTAAATAGAGGTGACAGTAGTTTAACGAAGTTTGAATATAGTTAATCAAATAGGTAGAGACAAACCAAGGTAACAAGGGTGTAAGCCATGAGATATTTATTTTGTACCTTTTTTTCTTACATCCATAAGGTTACACCACTCTTTGATTAGATGACATATCAATGAAAGTATCTATTGAAATCACAAAGAAGAAATGACTAGAAATGCTTACAGTGCATTTACATTTGGATCTAAACAAGAGGCTCTCAAGAGCCTGAATTGCTCACCTGTAATTTTTTGCTTAAATCTTTCATCAATGATTATTTTTGCTTTTCAATATATATTAATGAGTGGCTTAAAAATGCCATTTAAATGTTCTTTGTATCTGTCATATTTTCTTCAAAAGCAAAAAAATGCATTTTACCCCTATGTTCCATTTTAGCCATAGTGGCTATGTTTCTTGACGTACAAGGAAATAAAATATACAATTTATACAAGATACTCTGAAACTCATTCAGCCCAAGTTTGGCTGAAATTGATTCAGCAGTTTCAAAAGCGAAGATTTTTTAAAGTAAGCAAACTAGATTAGATGAACAAATTGTGAAAAATTGTCTTTAAAGGACAATAACTCCTTAAGGGGTTAATTGACAATTTTGGTCATATAAAACTTATTTGTAATCTACAAAAAATAACCTAAAAATCAGATAACCGATTTGGCTGATTATTTCAGGGGAGGTAGACCTTGACCTAATGAATACTTTAACTTCTTGTCTGAATTGCTCTAAATGCTTTAGTTTTTGAGATATAAGTCAAAAACTGCATTTTACCCTATGTTCTATTTTTAGCCATGGCGGCCATGTTTTTTGACGAAACAGAAAATAAAACACAAACTTTATTCTAGATAACCTAAGAATCATTCAGCTTAAGTTTGGTTCATTTTGGTTCAGTAGTTTCAGAGGAGAAGATTTTTTAAAGTTAGAAAACATGTTCATGATGATAAACAAATTGTGTAAAATTGTCCTTAAAGGGCAATAACTCCTTAAGAGGTCAATTGACAATTTTGGTCATATAAACTTATTTGTAGATCTTACTTTGCTGAACATTTTTGCTGTTTACAGATTATCTTTATCTATAATAATATTCAAGATAATAACCAAAAACTGCAAAATTTCCTTAAAATTACCAATTTAGTGGCAGCAACCCAACAGTGGATTGTTAGATTCATCTGAAAATTTCAGGGCTGATAGAACTTGACCTAATGAACATTTTTGCCCGAGTCAGATTTGCTATAAAATGCTTAAGTTTTTGAGATATAAACCAAAAACTGCATTTTACCCCTATGTTATATTTTTAGCCATGGCGGCCAAGTTTTTTGACGAAACAGAAAATAAAACACAAACTTTATTCAAAATACGCTAAGGATCATTCAGCTTAAGTTTGGTTGGAATTGGTTCAGTAATTTCAGAGGAGAAGATGTTTGAAATAGTTTACAATGGACGGATGACGACGACGGTAGCCAAGTGATGGCAAAAGCTCACAGTTCCTTCGGAACGGTGAGCTAAAAATTGTTTGAATATATCTATCATATCAATTTAATCAAACAAGTAAGCATACTTTCAAACCTTATTTTAGTCTTTCATTGTTGTGATGAACATTTAAAACATTGTATTACAGATATAGTTGCATTACACCATTCTTCAGAAAGCTGGGCAATTATTTAGTCGAGAAAATGGGTTAAATGCGTTTAATGTCAGTAGGTCATTAAATTTGTATAATAATCTCTTTTAAATTGTAAAATTATCAAATCATATTCACAATTTACAATAAAATGCTCCTCTGCTGGGCACAGCTTGATTCGACCGCAGAGGTCAAACCCTGAACAGTTGGGGCAAGTATGGACACAACATTCAAGCTTGATACAGCTCTGAATTTGGATTGTGATTAAATATTTGACACAGCATAGGTTTCTGACACAGAATGAATGTGGTCTAAGAACTTAAATTTTTTAATTTACCTATTATGATCCAATATCCAAAATCTAAATACATGGTTAGATTAAGCATATCAAAGAATCCAAAGAATTCAATTTTTGATGAAATTAAACAAAGTTTAATTTTGGACCCTTTTGACCTCAATGTGGACCAATTTGATAACGGGGCCCAAAAATCAAAATACATGGTTAGATTCAGCATATCAAAGAACCCCATATATTCAAGTTTTGTTGAAATCAAACAAAGTTTAATTTTAGACCCCAACGTGGACCAACTTGAAAACTGGGCCCATAATCAAAAATCTAAACACATCTTAAGATTCAGCATATCAAAGAACCCCAAGAATTCAATTTTTGTTAAAATCAAACTAAGTTTAATTTTGGACCTTTGGACCTTAATGTAGACGAATTTAAAAAACAGGAACTAAAATTAAAAATCTAAATACACAGTTAGATTTGGCATATCAAAGAACCCCAATAATTCAATTTTTGATGAAATGAAACAAAGTTTAATTTTGGACCCTTTTGATCTCAATATGAACCAATTTGATAGCGGGGCCCACAAATAAAAAATCTAAATACATGGTTAGATTCAGCATATCAAAGAACCCATATATTCAATTTTTGTTGAAATCAAACAAAGTTTAATTTTGGACCCCAATTTGGAGCAACTTGAAAACTGGGCCCCAAATCAAAAATTTAAATACATGTTTAGATTCAGCATATCAAAGAACCCCATATATTCAATTTTTGTTAAAAATCAAACTAAGTTTAATTTTGGACCCTTTGGACCTTAATGTAGACCAATTTGAAAACTGGACCCAAAATTAAAAATCTAAATACACGGTTAGATTCGGCATAACAAAGAAATAAATGTGGTCAAAGATTTTACAAATCTAATGAGTCATACTGTGCAATTAAAGATTACTTCTTGAAATTTTTCAATATTTGAAATTTGAAAAAAAAAAAATATTTGAAGAATAATTCTTTTTAATATCTGAAATCTGAAATGAGAAAAAATTGACCCCCCACAATTTTTTTTTACCCCCCCCCCCCCCTTTTTCCCCCAAAAAATTCTTTCCCTCAAGATATGGTCATAATCTCAATTCAAATTTCCAATGGAGTTTGCAACCATAATTACCCATTTAAATTTACCATAGTGCTAACTTAATCTATTTTATAATAGAATTTAAAATATGGTGTCAAATCTTTCATATATGGATTTTTTTGTAAAAAAAAAAAAGATGCAACATATTTTTACTGGTCTTCCTTTATAAATATGCATTTCTTTAAACATAATTTAAAAGCAGTGTAAGGGAAGTTATCAAAACGTTGTATTTGGATTACCTCCCTTACACTGCTTTTAAATTGTCTTAATTGTTCATTAACCATTACTTTATACATAATTTAAAAGCAGTGTAAGGGAGGTAATTCAAATGATGTATTTGATTTATCTCCCTTACACTTCTTTAAATTATGTTTTGTACTAAAGTATTTGTCCATTAACCAGGACAACCTTGTTTTTCCCCCTTTTTTGCCCCTAATTCCTAAACTGTTTGAGCCATAACCCCCCAAAGCAAATCCTAACCATCCCTTTGTGGTATGGAAACTTGGGTATAATTTCAGAGAGATCCATACACCGTTCCACAAGTAATTGTCTGGAAACTAGAAAATGCTTATTTTTGGCCCCTTTTTGGCCCCTAGTTCCTTAACTGTTGGTACCATAACCCCCAAAATCAATCCCAACCTTCCTTTTGTGGTATTTAACCTTATGTTAAAATTTCATAGAGATCCATTCACTTAAACTAAAGTTATAGCGCGAAAACTAATGTGTTTTCGGATGACGACGACGACGACGCCAACGTCGTACCAATATACGACCGCAAAAACAATTACAAAAAGCAGATATTACCAAAGTAAGAATCCTCTTAAAAAGTAGGGATTACATTTGTCCTTGTAGTTCCTGTTCAAACATGTACGGTATATCAAGTTTTTATAAAGGTTTTTTTCTGTTCATGATACGATGAATTAATGGGCAGGTTAAATTTTCACTGAGTATTGTTTTTGCTAATAATGAAATTAAGCAAACAATCACTGTAGTAGAATTAAGATGTAAACATTATAAACTTGGATTGATTGACAGAGAATTTATAACAAATAAATATGAGTACTACAAACTAAAAAAAATCATAACTCAGAGAACATTCAAGGAAAGTAAATTAAGTTCATTCCAGCAGGCTAAAAAATGAAGGTTTTGATAATTTTTGTAATGGTATAACAGAGCACTTTAAAGCATATCTATCCAAATTCTGTGTAAAAGATGATTTAAATCAAATGCAAAATGCATGAGTTTTGACAAAAATAAACAGATCATTGTAAATTAACATTTATGTACATGTCACTGAATGTTGTGTTGTTAAAAGGTACGACATGTATAATTAGCCAGTTAATAATTATAATTAAAAAAGAGATCTTAATCAATTATGCACATTTTTCACAAAAGACTGATCTTATATTTAATGTTATTTCACTTTTAGACATATCAATTTTGTGTCTACTTAATAAAATTAACAGTATAATGTATGAAACTTTTAAACAGCAATAAATCTTGAAATAACCAGGAAAATTTATGCCAGTCAAGTTTCACATTTGTTTTAGCTGCTGTTAACAAAGTGAAATTTAAACACACACAACTAAATCCCATATTATATGTGAAATGTCCAATAACATATCAGCTACCATGTCACTAGGAACAATTGACTTCAGTTTTCTAAGTAAAATACACCAATTTCTGTATCATGGTTTCTGACATTAAAAAAACATCAATTTGCAGAGACTGATTGGAATTTGAATTAGTTTGAACATAACTATCCTACTCCATACATACCCAATGTGCATAGAATCAATTTTGCCTGGAACAAATAAAATCTTCATATAAATACAATCATAACAGATTTAGTTTAAAGATATTCTATCAGCTAAATTAAAGCAAATGGATGAGGCACAAGAAAATCATACTTATGAATTCTTCTCAGAATCTCTATAACACAATATGAATATATACAATAATAATATTGTGAGCATGAATATAAAAGAAAACTGTTTACTGAAAAGTAATATACCTCTGTGATGATGATGTCGACAATGATGATGGTACATGTCAGAATCAGTAACATATTATGAGGGTACAAGAAATCTGTTTGACTTTTTGATGAAATTTCAAACAGATTTCATGTACCTTCATGAAATATTATTGATACCGACATAACAGATATATTGTTAAAAATACAAAAGGTTACTACAATCTAGTTTAAATGGTTCAATTCAAAAAAACATTTTACAAGGATAATGGTAACACCAAGAAAAGTGTCATAATACTTGATATCATATATCAAATGTTTTTATTTTTGGTGAAGTTACATTAAAACTTTTGAGATGATTAAAATCAAATAAATCTCTTGACTTTAAATACCTGTTCTTCAGTTCTTGCTTCAAACACGTGACACAGAAATTTACGAGCTAAACTGCATGTAGTCTCTCTAAAAACATATAATAATTAATAAAGTGTTGTTTATACAGTAACACACTTACATATGTTTAAAATAGTTCAATATTCAACTAAATATAGATATTTGACTTAAAGTTATTGCTTTCCAGCATGAAATTGTTACTGAAATTATTATTGTTTTTAACTATAAAGAGCTACATATTTTTTCATCCTGAAACCAACTTTATGAACATGTCTTTTCGATCAGTTTAATTGAAGTTTGGAGATGGCATGTCAGTAACTGCTAGTAGTCCTTTGTTAATTCATGTTGATCATTGTCATTTTGCTTAGTTTCTTCTGTTACCTATTCTAACATTGGAGTCGGACTTCTTTTAAACTGAGTTTTACTCTGCATATTTGCTTGTGTTTGTTTATTACACATTGGCTAGTTATAGGGGGAGGGTTGAGATCTCACAAAACATGTTTAACTCCCCCGCATTTTTGCACCTGTCCCAAGTAAGGAACCTCTAGCCTTTCTTTGTTAGTCTTGTGTATTTTTTAATTTTGGTTCAATTATATGTTTCAGAGTTTCGCTGAACTAGTAAACATTATTGTTAAGAGGCCAGCTGAAGCCTGCCTTCGGGTGCAGGATTTTCTCGCTGCATTGAAGACCCATTGCGGCCTAGGGCTGTTTTCTGCTCTTGGGTGGGTGGGTTATTGTCTCTTTGACACATTCCCCATTTCCATTCTCAATTTTATTTAATTTTTTTCTATATTTAGTAACAGTGATAAGAGCTGCATATCATTTCATCCTGAAACCAACTTTCATTTTTTCTATATTTGATAAGTTATCACCCTGAAACCATTTGTTTCGGACACATGGACATTTTTTTAAGTAGCAAGGGGTTGCCATCACCATCATCAATTATTTGTGGAGAAGGGTTTTGTTTCAATCAAAACAAAACCTGATTTAATTTATCATTACACAATATCAGCAGGCAAAGAGAAAAAGCAAAATATGATGTTTTGATTAAGAGCTCTAGGTAAGTGGAATAATTTGCTGATACATTTAGTCTTTAATTTATCGATTACACCATAATTATAGAGTTAATTGGTTTTCCTGTAATATTGTTGTCTTTTGTTATACTGTTAATTCAGAAATTATTGCAATGCTTTTATTTATGCGAAAAAATGTGACAGTATCAGGTATGCAATAATAAAAACTTGCATTCTTAATTTCAGTATAAATTTCTTACACAAAAGAATTGCAATCACATTAATTAGATCTTGCAATTTTCCTGTAATTGATTCATAATAATAAATGCACACATCAATTTCTAAATCTACCAAATCTAAATGTTTTTGTTGAATTTGGTATTGAGTTTAAGTATTAAGTCTTTGCTAAATATATTTAAAACATTTAAACAACTCTGGGCAAATTAAAGCTTGACATAATGCATAGACAACCATCTATTGTGCAAGACGTTGACCTGTAGATGTTCTTTTTTAGTTGTTTGATTGTTGTCTCATTGAATTTCATCCACACCTCTTTTGATTCATTGTAGCACCTTCAAATAACGTTTCTGCTTTGTTTACTCTTACCCTGCAATGTATCCAAAGTATTTCATCAAATCAGTTCTCCTTCCACAGGCTGAAATTTCTGTATAGGTTTGGCGTAAAATTATCTATTGAAAAAAGAAGAAAAATTAAATTCCCAATGTCTCCCATGTTGCACATATTTTATCTACCCAAGGGCAATAACTTGAACAAATTTTTTTTTATCTTTTTAAATTCTGAATCAATATCTTTCAAGAAATGTAAGCATGAGATCCCTAACAATGTTAAAAAAGGAATTGAAGACAGACATAAAACCTGATGATATAAAAGCAATACACATAATTCCAGGGAAAGAAGGGCATACAAAGCCTGTCATTGTTAGAGTCTGTGATACTGACCTGAAAAAATTAAAATCAGAAGACAGAAGAGAGGGCTAAAAAATGAAAGCAGATTCCACCATGACATTACGCAGCTTAAGGTAGATCAGTAGACTTTTTCAGGGCATTCCTTCTGGGCATGTTGCAAAAATACCTTTTTGGTTTAAAAATATTTTAGCAAGTATCATTCAATATACAACAGAAACATCTAAAACTAGAAATTTAATCTATCAAACTATCAAAAAATTAAGTGTCATTAAGTGTATTCAAAATTAAGAAAAAATCCGTTTAAAATCAAAGGCAGATAATAATATTGAATTTGATAGGACAATTTGTGATTTTTGGATTATTTTTAAAAAGATAAGGCCCATGACCCCCTATTTTTATTTGATATTTCGAAAGTATTTATGAAAAGAAATTCTCTCATTAAGTTTAAAAAAAATATTCCCTTGAATTTGACAGTTGTAGGAAGTTAACCCTGCATTTCATAGCAGAACAAAATTAATGAGTCATAAACATATAGCTTGGGTGCTTCAAAGTACCATTCTTGTTTTATTTGGTGATATTATAAAATACTTTGGAAACTGCAAAATTTCCTTAAAATTACTAATTCAGGGGCAGCAACCCAACAACGGGTTGTCTGATTCATTTGAAAATTTGAGGGCAGATAGATCTTAATTTGATGAACATTTTTACCCCAGTCAGATTTGCTCTAAATGGTTTAGTTTCAGAGATATAAGCCAAAAACTGCATTTTACCCCTATTTTCTATTTTTAGCCATGTCGGCCATCTTGGTTGACAGGCGGGGTCATCAGACACATTTTTTAAACTAGATACCCTAGTAATGATTGTGGCCAAGCTTGGTTAAATTTGGCCCAATAGTTTCAGAGGAGAAGATTTTTGTGAAAATTTACGGACGAGGACAACGGACGACGAAAGACGATAGACGACGGACGACAGACGACGGACGCCAAGTGATGAGAAAAGCTCACTTGGCCCTTTGGGCCGGGTGAGCTAAAAAGGTGTGAAAATTTGAATAGTTAACTTCCAACGATGGTTATTATCTTGTATGCAATGAAATGTTATGTGAAATTTTGTCTGTAGTACTGGACAGGATAAAACATTACTCATTCCAAGTATTTCTTTATTTGAAACAAAGATAAATTCTGCAAAATTTTTTGAAAAGTGCCAATTTAACAAAGACTAATAGGGGAAAATCAATGGTGGTATAACTCCTCTTGACACAGAAGTCTTTAATAGAAGTTTAAGAAAAATGTATGGTCAAAAAATTTATAGACACCCCAGGTACCTTAACTTAGGACTTATGACACAGTTAAACAAGCATTCTGAGAGTATTGTATGGCAATACATAGTCCCCTACCGGTTAAAATTTCGTTGTATTGGAACAAAATGCTAACTTGATTTATAACTTGTCATGGTGTAAACTATATAACAAATATCAAGTCAATATCTTCAAGCATGACGAAAAAAAGTGTTGAAAACTGATTATTTAAGTGAATTTTCTAAGTCCAAGGACCATAACTCTGCACAAAATAATCAGAAAGGAACAAAATTCGAACTTGATCTGTAACTTGTCATGAAAAAACTATATCCCCAATCATCAAATCAATATCTTCAAGCATGACGGAAAAAAGTGCAGAAAACTGATTATTTGAGTGAATTTTCTAAGTCAAAGACCATAACTCTGCACAAAATCATCAGACCAAAACAAAATTCGATCTTGATCTGTAACTTGTCATGATAAAACTATATACCAATTATCAAATCAATATCTTCAAGCACGAAGAAAAAAAGAGTGGAAAACTGATTTGCCGGACAGACAGATGGACTGACAGACAGACAGACAGACAGACAGACGGATGGAGTGCAAACCTAAAGTCCCCTTCGACTTCGTCGGTAGGGCACTAAAAACTGTGAACAATTTGAAAATGTCTGGTTTTATAATCGTTATGTGTATGCTAAGCATTAGAATGGAAGAAAAAATCGATTTGACTTGTTTGACAATACTGTAAATTCAGAAATTATTGCGAGGTTTTTATAAATGCAGATAATCCAACTGGGTGAGCATCGCAATAATAAAAACTTGCATACTGATATCTGATCCATATACCTTTATGCACATTTTCCTGAATTCGCAATAATTAATCTTGCATTTTTGTCCATTCTTCAAAAATCGTAATAATAAATGCATGCAATAATTTCTGAATTTACAGTATTTAGAAAAACTGAGAAAAAAAGGATGATTGCTACCATTGCTTAGCATTGCTCCACTGTTTAACAATTGCTATTTATATGAAAATATGATTAAACCCAAGATTGGTTGTGCATGATTATCAATGTTTTGCCAGGTTTACCTGATAATTTGATTAATAACAGCAATTTTTGTCAAACAATGTAAATCAGTTCACATGAAATTGAATAAATCACTAACCATTGACAACGGAAACAATATGAACAGATTTAATTGTATGGAGCAGTTTTCTTTAATAAAAAAGCCCAAGAAAATTTAACAGTACCTTGTTGTTGCTGGTAGCATCACTTACAATGACATCCTTCTCCCTCAGATCAATCAAAACTTCCTGTAACATTCATATTTTAAACATAAGAAAATACTTAATATCAAAAAGGCTAAAGTTAAAAATTAGCAGATACTACTGTCCCCTGCTGTACATACCCTTTTCACAGTATAATCATTAAATACAGCTCTGACTATGTAAGCAATGACGAGCTCTACAATTTCATCTTGATAATTTATGCCACATTAGAGTTTATTACAGGCTTCAAAAGAAACCTCTTTCATACATTTCTTCCATAGGCACTTAATCATAGTTTTTGATCATCAATAAGCTGTTCATCTTCAAATATCCTACAGATATGATCATTGTTGAAGGCTGTAAAAGACCTAACATCTGCGTCATTTGGACTTTGGTGGATAGTAGTCTCTTTGGCAATCATACCACATCTCTTTATTCTTATTTTCATTGAGTTGCAATCTGACATATAGGCAGCTTACAGTTTGTTATGACTGCTTCTGACTCTTGAAGTTTTTGATACATTTAGGTGACAAAATTATTGTCAGCAATTACAGGTATGAATTTGATGCCAGATTTTCAGATTTTTTGGCATACCAGCTAAACATGCTAAGTTAAAACAGCCAAACAACTGTCACTGACAAAGATGAAACTTGTGACTGTAAGGGCTGCCACCACAAAAGTGAAAAAAAATGAAGATCCTTTAAAAAAATTAAAATTTTCAAAATAAAGGTTTTTAACAATTTAAAATACAAATGACTGAAATGGAATTTCAAAATTTGGTCAAATCAAATCATATACTTTTTTTTATAGAAATTTGTACCCCCACTAGTACACATGACATATGAGATGCTTAATTGTAGAGCACAATAAAATTTCATGCCAAATTATGGAAGTACAAAGATAATTAGTCAAATTAAAACAAATTTACAAGTATGAAAAGTTGAAATACAAAGATTTACTGCCACTTGATAGTCAGAAAAAAATGCTGCTTCATAAATCCAGATTTGTAACTTAAATTTAAAAACTTGTAATGTTAAGACTTTAGGCATTTCAATATCCCCAACTCTGTCTTTCATCGGGGAACAGTAACAGTATACTTACAATTACTTGTTTGTGATTTCTAAGCACCAAATCGACTCCATCTTCTATTCTGTCTACTCTACCATCCTATAATAAGAATAACAAGAATGTGTCCATAGTACACGGATGCCCCACTCCCACTATCATTTTCTATGTTCAGTGGACCGTGAAATTGGGGTCAAAACTATAATTTGGCATTAAAATTAGAAAGATCATATCATAGGGAACATGTGTACTAAGTTGATTTGACTTCAACTTCATCAAAAACTACCTTGACCAAAAACTTTAACCTGCAGTGGGACAGACAGACAAACGGACAGACAAAGGACGCACAGACCGAAAAACATAATGCCCCTCTACTATTGTAGGTGGGGCATAAAAATTTATCATTGATTTATCATAATTGTGGAATAAAAATAATTGTGGAATAACAATATTTGCGGGATAACAATGTTTGTGGATATAGTGGGTATAGGAAAACCATGAATTTAAGTGTTCAAAGAAGTACATATTTTCTAAGGGCTTGTATGCAGGCTTCAGCAAACCCAGGAAATCAAATATCAATGAAAATACTAGTTTAATGCATGAAAATTAGAACCAAAACAAATAAATGAATTCAAAGTCATATATTTTAACTTTAACAAAGGTTGTCATTTTTGTCAAATAAATCATTTATTTTTCTGAGTTTTCTGTGATTAAATATAATATTGTGAATTTATTCCCATGTTCTTTCCTTTCCTCCTAGCAGCATGAATTTTCAAAGTTTAGCATAGGTCTTTTCCCTGTGCTTGAGCTTTTGCTGGTTTAAAAATAAACCATAAAGAATTCAATACCAAATAGTTATTCCTAATACCAGGCAATTTCTTTTATACATACCTGTAATTTAGTCTATGTATTTAAAAAACAACAAATTAATAAACAATATAACTTTACTCATATCCTACCTTATATTTAATACTAGAAATGTTACAATCTAATTTATCACAGGTACGTGTATATATAATTCAAGGACAAAAATTGTCATAATTTGAATAGAACACACCATCTTTACATTATTTTTAATCTCTAAATTGTACAAGATTCACAAATTCATTTCAACTGACTAAAACTTACAGGTCCAAGATCTACATTGCCAAGGTATGTTGCTTTATATAATGCACTAAAAAATAAAAAAAAACAATCTGTCAAAAATTAAAAGAAAATACATATGAATACACATAGAATAGTTGCTCAAAATTCTACAATTCCTTTTAAAATGGCCAAATCAGAATGATGGTAAAATATGATCAACTACACATGATGGCTAGAGGAAGGGTTGACTACTTGCTCACAAATTTGTTTAAGCCCGCCAAATTCTTTATTTGCCTATCCCAAGTCAGGAGCCTGTAATTCTAGTGGTTGTTGATTCATGTCTGTCATATTTATTTTTCATCAATTGAATTGATATACTGTAAATTCAGAAATTATTGTGTGCATTTATTATTGCGATTTTGTCATTTTAGAATAAAATGCGATTTTAATTTTTGCGATATTGAGAAAAATCCTGTTTAATTCATATAAAAAATTTCGAGTTTGAATTATTGCGATTATAACCCTGTCGCATTTTTCGCAATAATAAAACATCGCAATAATTTCTGAATTTACAGTATATAAGGCGTTAGTTTTTTCTGCATGGACAGTTTCATACTTTTCTTTTTAACAGCATAAGATAAGAACAAACTTAAAATCAGTTGCATTGGCTCAACTCAAAAGATCAGTATGGAGCCCAAAAAATTATTAACATAAAAACAATAGACACAAAGCACAGATATAAGAGTACTCATAGTTACTGAAAGCTAATTCAAAGCCAATTACAACAAGAAATGATTGTAACAGGATGCTGTTACGAAGTCTCCCAAACGAAGTTCCCATAATTCGTAATTCCCAGGGTCGTCTGACATTGGGCAAAGTCCAGTGAAAATTGGTTATGTAAAGTTATATGCATTAGTGATGCCTGGGGACTAACCCTGTATATCATTCAAATCATCTTGGCATGACAAACCAGAATATATATGGTTATGGGGTGGGGATCTTGACCACTTACAAGATACTAGAACATTGGGGGTGGGGGAACCCCTGGGGACTGACCCTATACGTCATTCAAATGTTCGAGACATGATGAACAGGAATATATATGGTTTAGGGGTGGGGATCTCGATCATTTACAAGATATTAGAACATTGGGGGTGGGGGAACCCCCTGGGGAGTGACCCTATACGTCATTCAAATGTTCGAGACATGACGAACAGGAATATATATGGTTTAGGGGTGGGGATCTCGACCATTTACAAGATATTAGAACATTGGGGGTGGGGGGTGGGGGAACCCCTGGGGACTGACCCTATACGTCATTCAAATGTTCGAGACATGACGAACAGGAATATATTTGGTTTAGGGGTGGGGATCTCGACCATTTACAAGATATTAGAACTTTCTCAAATGGCAGGGGGTGGGGGATGACCCCTGGGGACTAACCCTGTATATCATTCAAACCATCTTTGCATGACAAACCAGAATATATATGGTTTAGGGGTGGGGATCTTGACCACTTACAAGATATTAGAACTTTCTTAAATGGCAAGGGGGTCGGGATGACCCCTGGGGACTAACCCTGCATATCATTCAAACCATCTCAGCATGACAAACCAGAATATATATGGTTTAGGGGTGGGGATCTTGACCACTTACAAGATATAAAAACTTTCTTAAATGGCAGGGGGTGGGGGTGACCCCTGGGGACTAACCCTGTATTTCATTTTATTTGCTTTATAATGACAAACCAGAATATATATGGTTTAGGGGTGGGGATCTCGACAATTTACAAGATATTAGAACTTTCTTATATGGCAAGGGGTCGGGATGACCCCTGGGGACTAACCCTGTATATCATCCAAACCATCATAGCATGACAAACCAGAATATATATGGTTTAGGGGTGGGGACCTTGACCACTTACAAGGTATTAGAACTTTCTTAAAATGGCAGGGGGTGGGGGTGACCCCTGAGGACTAACCCTGTATTTCATTTAATGTGCTTTATCATTTAGAACATTTTCAATTAAAAAGATTGTGTCTATCACAAACGGTTTTCAATTTATAATTATTTGAAAATTATAAAAAATAAAATCCCATAGGGTTCTATAGTAAAACCCTCCTTTCTTTTCGCCCCTCAAAGTACCCCTTTATAAACCCTATTGCACAAACAAAACCCTGATTGCACAACTAGACATGTTAGTCTAACATGCGGTTTTGGAGAACGGGTGCGGACAAGTTCAAATTTAAAAGTGGCGGAAGAGAAAGAGGAAGAGGAAGAGGAAGAATAATAATAATAATTATAAGAACTGAGCAAAAACAATAAGTCTTCCCAAACTTCGTTTGGGAGACTTAACTAATAAATAAATCATTTTCTCCAACACTAAAGTATCAGTCAGTACACATCCAAAGGATTTAGTAAAAAGACATCCTTGTGGGATGCCAATATATAAGTAAACAGTATCCACAAGAATGTAGGATCATGAGTATTCATAACTGTACATCTTTATTTAGTTAATCTTTTAATTTTTCAAAAACAAAATCAATGTTAAAACCGATAAAACAATATGTAAAAATATTTCACTATGGTGTTCGATTTTTGATTTTGATATTTTGATTTTTGGTGTTTTAACGCCACTTTTAAGCACCGCTTTTGGGCTATTTCGTGGCGGCCAGTTTTTATTGGTGGAGGAAGCCGGAGTGCCTGGAGAAAACCACCGACTTTCGATAGGAAAACTGACAATCCTAGTCAATTAAGATTGGAGTCGAGTGCACCCGCACGAGCGGGGTTCGAACTCACAACCTCAGTGTTGACTGGCTAGTGATTACAGTAGGACCTACTTAGACCACTCGGCCACCTAGGCCCCCTATGGTGTTCGATGGATAACTTTTAAAATTAAGTTTATTCAAAGGATCAATGAGTTTACATGAATCATATCTGAATTTATAGCTCTATAAAAAATATCACCATAAAAATTAAATGTGATATCCCATTTTAAATAAGCATTCTACATGTACAGCCAAATTTCCAAACCAAATCTTTGAAAGAATTAAGTAAAATATTTAATTAATTTGTGGTAAAAATACACCTTTTTTTAATAATTTACTAGTTATACATAAATTAGGTTCATTGAAATCCAAAATGTCACTACAGAAACAGGCAAAGTAAACAAGTTGTGAAATATACACACTGTAAAAAGGGGTCATCACTGTTTTATATAGCTTCCTGTGTTAACCCGATATACCAAAATCTAAACTGGAGCTGTCTGCATAGGGGGACTAAGACCCATTTCAGAACTTTGTTAACAGGGATATAAAAAGGACAATTATTGATGCTTGCCTTATTATACACCATATCCCATTCCCCACATACAAACAGAGTAAATATTTCATCAATAAGCATTTTTGCATGTTTCCACTTGATTTATTTTAAGTAAGTTTCACTAATGGCCAACTGTTTATTTAAAAAAACACATCTACCAAACAGAGTGAATATTTCATCAATCAAAATATCATGCATCCTGATCAGGGTTTCAAAGGCTTTTTTCCTGGAATCATAAAGTTATTTTACAAAGTCTGAATTGCAATAAACTAGATCAAAACATTTAAAGGAAATGAGCTAACCCAATTCATGGATGGAAAGACGGACTGAATTGTGTACCAAATGATTCCTTAATATATCACGAAACATTGTTTTCCCAGGAATGTACTAAATGAAAATCATTGAATTAATGGTTCACAAACTATAAAACAAAACTTCTGCTGTCTAAAATTAACAAAACCAATACCAGGTCTTGACCCGTGTTGCTGTATGCAATTGATTGAGGTTATATGTATACTGGAGCATAACTGATCATTCCCTTTCACTGATGCCAAGAAAAGTTTGACGAAATTTTTGTTGTACAATAATTGTAGTAAAATTTCAAACTATCTGCAAACAGGAAAAAGCTACACAACAGATGTAAAAATTGCTTACTCACTACAAATCAACATTATCAAGCTGCAGACTAAATATTTAATCATTCCTTTTCATAGAAGCCGAGAAAACTTTGACAGAACTTATCTTTCTTTCTCTTGGACTGATGGATAAATAGAAGGATGGACGGAGTCGAGTGGTTACTAGACCTGCTTCCGCCTTTGGCAAAGCAGGTAAAAAAAAAACTTGATCTATGTTACCTTCCATCAGGAGCATGAACAGGTCTCTCCGAGTCCTCCTCTTCTGGTAGAATAGCATGACCTGGTTTCCTGTCAGAATTGTTGTTATCTTTATCGTCTGGTACCTTCTCCTTCTGTAAAGTTCTGGGATTTATATTGATCTCTTCCAGTAAGCGGACAATAGGAGGAAAATACTTTCCCTCTCTGTCACAAAGCTAAAATTTATCAATTATTTATTTACTGGGATGCTTTTTATTAAAATAAACTTATCTAAAAATGATTTAAATTAATCTGAAACACCTGCACTCCCTTTCAAAAGTAAATTTTCTAACAATTCTTACCAATCCCATCAAATTTCAAGGACCAAGATAATTGAAATAACATCAAATGTACTGTAGATTCATTTGTGTTCAATGGTACATTTTTTTGTGGATTGTATTTTTATTTTAACAAATTTTGTCTACACATTGATATGAAATTTGCATTTTGTTGAATACTTAAAAGTGTGGTTATATTCATAAAATCGACTGAAACTCAAACCTTATGAATAATGAAGTAAATATTAAAACCACTAATCACATTGCAGATTTACCTTAATGACACCAACATATACTGGTAGACCTTTATGCCTTGCCATTAATTTATGCACCTGAAAAGAAGTAAAATTGTTTGAGATATCAGACAATTTGAGTACAAACTTATCAAATCTACTAGTAAGTATCAGCATCCATGTCAACTTATTTTAGTAATTTTAAGAAAGTTGAATAGGCATCAAGTAAAAATATGAGAACATTTATGAAATTGATCATGAAGTCATTTAAAAAATCCACGGACAAATGGTAAGTGAAGAACCCCACTGAACAAGCTCATATATCCTTGCTATCCTATAAACCATGATTTTTGGCAGTAATATTCTTTCACATAAATCTATTTTCAATGACATTGACCTTTGACCAAATGACTTGAAAATCAGTGATCTTCCTCTTCATCCTCCTATAATATGTGACCATATATTCAAGTCAGGTTGTGATCCCATATAACACATCCTAAAAGCCCATTTCTGCACAAATTTCAATTTTTTTAAAAAGTATTTCTGACCTTGACCTTAGAAATGGTGTTTATAAAAAGATGATGGTTTCAGGGATCTTATACGGGACTAATGTATTAGTCACTTGGATGTCCCGTCCGTGTAACCTTTGTTATGTATATCATACCCTCAAATAAGACGTACTTTTTCAAATTTGTTATTTCCAGAATAAAATATGTTCAAGCTTCTAGTACTACAAACATAAAGAAAATTTGTGGCTAAACAAGAGGCTCTCAAGAGCCTGAATCGCTCACCTGCAATTTTTTGCCTAAATCTTTCATCAATGATTATTTTTGCTTTTCAATATATATATTAATGAGTGGCTTAAAAATGCCATTTAAATGTTCTTTGTTTCCGTCATATTTTCTTCAAAAGCAAAAAAATGCATTTTACCCCTATGTTCCATTTTAGCCATAGTGGCTATGTTTCTTGACGTACAAGGAAATAAAATACAAAATTTATACTAGATACTCTGAAACTCATTCAGACCAAGTTTGGCTGAAATTGTTTCAGCAGTTTCAAAAGAGAAGATTTTTTAAAGTAAGCAAACTAGATGAACAAATTGTGAAAAATTGTCTTTAAAGGACAATTTCTCCTTAAGGGGTCAATTGCCAATTTTGGTCATATAAAATCTTACTTGTAGATCTTACTTTGCTGAACATTTTTGCTGTTTACAGTTTATCTTTATCTATAATAACATTCAAGATAATAACCGAAAACTGCAAAATTTTCTTAAAATCATCAATTCAGGGGCAATAACCTAAAAATCAAGTACCCGATTTGGCTGATAATTTCAGGGCAGGTAGACCATGACCTAATGATTACTTTAACTTCTTTGCTGATTTGCTCTAAATGTTTTAGTTTCTGAAATATGAGTCAAAAACTGCATTTTACCCTATGTTCTATTTTTAGCCATGGTGGCCATGTTTTCTGAGGAAACAGAAAATAAAACACAAACTGTATTCTAGATACCCTAAGAATAATTCAATTTAAGTTTGGTTGGAATTGGTTCAGTAGTTTCAGAGTAGAAGATGTTTGAAATAGTTTACACTGGACGAACGACGACGGACGCCAAGTGATGGCAAAAGCTCACATTTCCTTTGGAAAGGTGAGCTAAAAAGATATTATATATTACATTTGGAAGACTTAGTGGAGTAAGTGCAAAGCTATATAACTCATCAATAATATCCCCTGGTCCTATCTTTCCCTGCAAAAGAAAGAGAAACTGTATTAGCATTAAGATTAAAAAAACAAAACAAAACTTTTTTATAGAACAAAAAAATTATTTCTAAATGATTTTTAGATTAACTTACAGGTAAAGAATTAACTGGAGAAATTATGATAAGGCAACTTTCATTGACCCTTAAATTATGGAAAATAAAAAATGTATCATAAGGCATAAAACTGATGCAGCCAAACATAACTGTAGGATCATTTTTGCAATAATCTATCCCTGATTGGCATGTATTCATTTCATAATTTCAATAAATTCATCAAAAATTTTGCAATGGAGGGGTCAAACTTTACTTTTCTCTAAATATACCTGTATTTTGGCAAATAGATAAAGACTTTTTTCGACAGTAAATCCTCATTGCCAGGCAATGTAGGCAAGATTTATTTGATTAATAAGAGACTCACATCTTCCTCTGCCACACTTCCTGGTTTTATTGACTTGACAATGAAATATTCCTGAACCTGTCTAATGGAGGAAAAGAAATAATGCATACATAGTCTGTAAGGCATTTTGACTCAAATCATTTAAGTTTAAACACATTTCAATGAGATATAAAGGGATGATACAAAAGTAAAAACTAATAAAGTCTTTTCTCTGAAACAACAACCTGATGGATAACTACTGTTTACAAGGTTTTTTTATGTTTATGGGTTGATACCTCATATGATAATATTTTTTTTCAGTCATATCCATAATTTGCATCTTTTATTTTTTGTTTACCGGTACTATTTTCTAATTAATTACATCTGTAATGTTTTCAAATTTTTCTCATTAATTATATCTCAAATATGTAGACTATCAGAGTAGTGTTTCACAGATATACAAAGCAAGTTGATTTTATATTTCATCAAAAATTTAGGTTTGCAGAGTCAAATAGTAGTAGGCTAAACATTCATAGTGAAATTCATTGAGTGACTTTTGATGTCTAATATATATGCAGAGTGAATCTGTCATGTTTTAATAAGTTATTCCTTATCTGCAATGCTATCCTTTTGACCTTTTTGCATAATAATAACATCAGATTAATTTGGGAATATACATTATTTTAAAATGGATTTTAAGTAAAAGAGTAAAAGTGTAAAATAGCAAGTTTTTTTGTTTCTGTTTTTTTTCTTCTTTTGGCCATGGTGCTGTCTGTCTCTCTTCAATAATGATTTATTGCTGTTGTCTTGCTTTTTAACAATGCATTATTTGTCAGATAAAATGCAACTACAACAATAATTTAAGGCACTTCTTTTTTTAATTACCAAAATTTTGTTTTTGCATTGTAGACCCGTATTTTATTTGTAAATTTTAAAAAATAAGATAGAGGCCAAATCCTTTCTATCGTACTGTGCTGTATTCTGCACAGCTCAGGTGTGCATTAAATATCTATCTATACTGCACAGTTTAAAAGTACTCTTACCATTATTTTAGAATGTAAGAGGTAAAGTGATGTAAGAAAAACAAAATAGTATTTGCAAAATTTTTTAAACTCATGTCGTATTAGTTAAAAATGTGAAAGAACTAAACAATTAAAATAAATTTTTATTGAACATCAAAAAAATATGCACTATGTAGTTTATCCCTTACTCATTTTGTCATTCGCCACCATATGTATATATCAAATATTTATTGTAATAATGTTCATTCTCTAAGCTGTATTCCTTTTGTATAAAGTATTTTATTTATTTTAAAATAAAATCTGTCAATTCATGTACATGATGTATATGTGTTATCCAAAAATTCAATCAAATTAGAAAACACAATTATTCTATAAACTAAAATGTGAAATAAATACTGATCTCAGTGATCTAACCAGAACTAACACTGTAAAGGAATAGTAAAATCCATTTTATTCTAATAGTATGAATACTATTCAGGACAAATTTAACCTACTTTAAAGGAGTAATTATATTGTATACTATCCTTGTATAAAAATTTCCTTGATATCCATCAACAATCTCTTTCCAAGTGAACTTGAGATTATAATTCTTAAGTCCCATAAAAAAATATGGAATCAACCACAAAATAATATTTAAACAATCATCTCACAATAGAATATACTTACTGTACATTCAAACCAAGATCTCCACATGGTACAAATTCAAAGTTTTTATAGATCTGTGAAAAAATGAATGAACACATATTCATGTGACTATTGATACATATAGTGCACATACAGACATAATTATATTGTTTGTCATTTGATAATTGCAAATTATTTCTAAATCAATTTCTTTAATTCTAAGTCTATTTATACTGCTCCAACCGTTAATAATTATTTTACAATCAACATGTGGTTTGCTTGATCTCAGTTCTTAATTTGTCAACATAATTTGGGTTCCTCTGATTTGGCTATTGTGGTATCATGAAAAATGGTCACCATGCCTGATGACATGACATGATCTTTTAGCAGATAATTTAAAGTGAAAGATAAAGTTGACTGTATATCTGTTATCATCTTATTTAAGTGTGTGTCAACACTATATAAATGGTAGATTGCATTCATTTTGAAGTGGGAACTTAAAATTTAACGTAACATTGTATTCAGCATTGGAAGGCAATACTATAAATTAGAGATATCTTTCTTTGTCCATATTTGTAGTTCAACTACAATTACGGACAAAGGAAGATAACTAAAATTTTAAATATTGTTTCAAAAATGACATGGTATGAGGGCACAGTTATCATCCTTTGATGACTGAGATACTGGGCCAAATAATCTCTGCCGGAAACAGGATACCTAAGTCTCTCTTTAACTCTGTCAAGGCTAGACATAAAAATTAACCTATATTTGAATGACTTATTGTTTTAAATTTACATTTGGGACAAATATGGTTAGAAAATACAACTGCCGTCAAGATGCATTTCATTATCAAATTAAATGTAACTTAAAAACAAAATTGACATGGCACAAACTTAAGTTATTTTTTACTTGTTAAATGCAGTTTCTTGGGAAAATTATTTCAAAAATACTGATAGCTTTGCCAACTCTAACTCAATATATGGACAGAATATTTGAGTCAAATTTAATTCATTATGACAGCTTCCAACAACCTTAAATTCAACCTTTTTCAACTGGGCCACTACATTAGAATTCAGTGACCAATTTTTTTTATAGCCCACTTTGATCTCAATTTTTTGTTTGTTCATGCATCAGGAGTAGATTGAGAAGGTATAAGAAATTCACAGACAATGATCATGAGTATCAAAGGATAATAATAGTGTCCTCAGACCTTTAAATCTAGACAGCTATTAAACATAAAGAAAATTTCCGTTTTAGATTAAGAGTAAGAATAAACCAACTACATGTACTTACAGGCAGTTCCCAGGTTTTGTCCAAGAAACTGGAATTCTGGAAAATATCAAAAGAAAAAACAAATTATGCTTAACATATGCTAATTGCAAATAAACTTGAATAGATACTGTGAAGCTTGAAAAAATTGGATGCAAAAAATACATAAATATGTTAGGTATTCTTATGCTTTGGGAAAATATTGGGTCTTATTTACTGCCCAAACAATGCATTATTTATCTAAAACAGTACACCCTATTCCTCATAGCTAATTTATTTTCTTGCAATTCTAATACATCTGTACATGTAGCTGCAATTTTCTCAATATTTTGTGTTTGTGTACATGTTTAGTTACTGTCGTTTTAATTCTTCACCTTAAACTTTCCACATAATCTTTCTCATGTTTCATAAAAGTAAAAAATTTCATTTTCTCTCTGACACTGAATGAATTTTTCTAATTACATTATGTATAAAGTATAGAAATTCAGTTAAACCTCTGCTATCTTTTTCATTCTGTAAGTAATTGAAGAACTTACATGTATCTTTAAATGGAATGTGACTTCTGCAAGCTCCAGTAAGAGTGAAATCAGAATTTCTGTAAATATAATAGTTTATTATTGTCATTAATTCTTCCATTATATTTTCAAATTCAGAAATTATTGATTGCATTTGTTATTGTGATTGTTGTACATTTGCCACAAATGTGAGATTAATTATAGTGATTGATGTACATTTGACACAAATGTGAGATTAATTATTGCGATTGATGTACATTTGACACAAATGTGAGATTAACAAGAAATGATTGTAACAGGATGCTGTTACGAAGTCTCCCAAACGAAGCTCCCATAATATGTAATTCCCAGGGTCGCCTGACATTGGGCAACGTCCAGTGGAAATTGGTTTGGTCCAGTAAAGTTATATGCATTAGTGATGCCTGGGGACTAACCCTGTATATCATTCAAATCATCTTGGCATGACAAACCAGAATATATATGGTTTAGGGGTGGGGATCTCGACCATTTACAAGATACTAGAACATTGGAGGTGGGGGGAACCCCTGGGGACTGACCCTATACGTCATTCAAATGTTCGTAACATGACGAACAGGAATATATATGGTTTATGGGTGGGGATCTCAACTATTTACAAGATATTAGAACATTGGGGGTGGGTGGAACCCCTGGGGACTGACCGTATACGTCATTCAAATGTTCGTGACATGACAAATAGGAATATATATGGTTTAGGGGTGGAGATCTCAACCATTTACAAGATATTAGAACTTTCTCAAATGGCAGGGGGTTGGGATGACCCCTGGGGACTAACCCTGTATATCATTCAAACCATCTTAGCATGACAAACCAGAATATTTATGGTTTAGGGGTGGGGATCTTGACCACTTACAAGATATTAGAACTTTCTTAAATGGCAGGGGGTGGGGGTGACCCCTGGGGACTAACCCTGTATTTCATTTGATGTGCCTTATCATGACAAACCAGAATATAGATGGTTTAGGGGTGGGGATCTCGACCATTTACAAGATACTAGAACATTGGAGGTGGGGGGAACCCCTGGGGACTGACCCTATACGTCATTCAAATGTTCGTAACATGACGAACAGGAATATATATGGTTTATGGGTGGGGATCTCAACTATTTACAAGATATTAGAACATTGGGGGTGGGTGGAACCCCTGGGGACTGACCGTATACGTCATTCAAATGTTCGTGACATGACAAATAGGAATATATATGGTTTAGGGGTGGAGATCTCAACCATTTACAAGATATTAGAACTTTCTCAAATGGCAGGGGGTTGGGATGACCCCTGGGGACTAACCCTGTATATCATTCAAACCATATTAGCATGACAAACCAGAATATTTATGGTTTAGGGGTGGGGATCTTGACCACTTACAAGATATTAGAACTTTCTTAAATGGCAGGGGGTGGGGGTGACCCCTGGGGACTAACCCTGTATTTCATTTGATGTGCCTTATCATGAAAAACCAGAATATATATGGTTTAGGGGTGGGGATCTCGACCATTTACAAGATATTAGAACTTTTTTAAATGGCATGGGGTGGGGGTGACCCCTGGGGACTAACCCTGTATTTCATTTGATGTGCTTTATCATGACAAACCAGAATATATATGGTTTAGGGGTGGGGATCTCGACCATTTACAAGATATTAGAACTTTTTTAAATGGCATGGGGTGGGGGTGACCCCTGGGGACTAACCCTGTATTTCATTTGATGTGCTTTATCATGACAAACCAGAATATATATGGTTTAGGGGTGGGGATCTCGACCATTTACAAGATATTAGAACTTTCTCAAAAGGCAGGGGGTCGGGATGACCCCTGGGGACTAACCCTGTATATCATTCAAACCATCTTAGCATGACAAACCAGAATATATATGGTTTAGGGGTGGGGATCTTGACCACTTAGGAGATATTAGAACTTTCTTAAATGGCAGGGGGTGGGGGTGACCCCTGGGGACTAACCCTGTATTTCATTTAATGGGCTTTATCATTAAGAACATTTTCAATTAAAAAGATTGTGTTTATCACAAACGGTTTTCAATTTATAATCATTTGAAAATTTAAAAAAATAAAATCCCATAGGGTTCTATAGTAAAACCCTCTTTTCTTTTTGCCCATCAAAGTACATCTTTATAAACCCCATTGCACAAACAAAACCCTGATTGCACCACTAGACATGTTAGTCTAACATATTGTGAAACCCTAAGTTAATCGGACAAGCGGTTTTGGAGAACGGGTGCAGACAAGTTCAAATTTAAAAGCGGCGGAAGAAGAAGAAGAAGAAGAATAATAATAATAATAATAATAACTGAGCAAAAACAATAAGTCTTCCCAAACTTCGTTTGGGAGACTTAATTATTGCGATTGATGCACATTTGACACAAATGTGAGATTAATTATTGCGATTGATGTACATTTGACACAAATGTGAGATTAATTATTGCGATTGATTGATGCACATTTGACACAAATGTGAGATTAATTATTGCGATTGATGTACATTTGACACAAATGTGAGATTAATTATTGCGATTGATGTACATTTGACAAACTGTGAGATTAATTATTGTGATTGATGTACATTTATTGTGATTGATGTACATTTGACACAAATGTGAGATTAATTATTGTGATTGATGTACATTTGACACAAATGTGAGATTTATTATTGTGATTGATGTACATTTGACACAACTGTGAGATTAATTATTGTGATTGATGTACATTTGACACAACTGTGAGATTAATTATTGCGATTGATGTACATTTGACACAAATGTGAGATTAATTATTGCGATTGTTCACAATAATTAAAATATTGCAATAATTTCTGAATTTACATTATTATGAAAACAGTCAGGTCAACATCCATAATGGACTTTTACAGATGAAACACAGTTAATATAAAGAAGAAGATGTGGTATGATTGACAATGATACAACTATCCAACAAACTGCTTATTATGTTTGTTAACTAACCGGAATAAAAACACAAATTTTATTCTAGATATACCCTAAGGATCAATCACCCCAAGTTTGGTAGAAATAGGTTCAGTATTTTCATCAAAGGATAAGTTTACAAAGGATGCCTGACAAAAGGATGAGGACAGACGCAACATGATGGCAAAAGCTCACATGTCCTTTCAAGGCAAGTGAGCTAAAATTCTGTGCAGGTGCAATTGTCATGAAATTCCAAATTTCTTCCAAAAGTTAGTTTACCAGTAAGAAATGCAAAGTTGACCTGTAACTCTTCATCAGTAAATCATAATTATACTCTAATAATATGTGTTAAAAATATCTGATCTATACCTGCTTGCATAATGAAAAAACTACAGACAACTGTTTGATTTTAGAGGAATAGACATGGGTAGTACAGAAGGATGGACACAGGTAGCACCATATGTTCAAGCAATTAAGTGAAGGAGCTATAACAATGTTATTTCTCATTGTAAGACATTTTAATTTTTGACATTATAAAAAATTTGTTATTGCAATAAACAAATGACAAACAGAATTTTTTTTTTATCAAAATTGTAATCTGAGTTAATTTTATTAAACTGGATAGTGGTTCCTCAGAATGATATTTTATAATGTCATGTTTAATAAACTTTAAACACTTTCAAGTCAAATTGAAATAAGAATGTGTCCATAGTACACGGATGCCCCACTCGAACTATCATTTTCTATGTTCAGTGGACTGTGAAATTGGGGTCAAAACTCTAATTTGGCATTAAAATTAGAAAGATCATATCATAGGGAACATGTGTACTAAGTTTCAAGTTGATTGGACTTCAACTTCATCAAAAACTACCTTGACCAAAAACTTTAACCTGCAGCGGGACAGACAGACGAACGGACGGACGGATGGACAAACGAACAGAGGCACAGACCGAAAAATATAATGCCCCTCCAATATCGTAGGTGGGGCATAAAAATGGAGAATGGACACAGATGATGCCCCCATTTCCATATAACGTTATAAAAGGACATAACTAAAGAATTGTAAAAGTGAAGACACACAAATTCGAACTCGATCAGTGTTTTATAGTAAAAAGCATTGTGTTTAAGTTTCATAACATTTGGTTGAGGCAAACTAAAGTTAGAGACAGGGAATGAAAAATTCAGCAATTATTCCATTTATAAAGGGGCATAACTCTAGAACGGTAATAGTGACGGCACCCAAATTGGAACAAAAATTCGGACGTACAGACGGACAAGGGTATCACTTAATGGCCCCTCCACAACAGGGGCATAAAAAAATCATGCAAATCAGTTAAAGATTTCAAATCATTTTTCATTTACATTAAATATAAATTGTACCATTAAAACTTACCAGACAATATTTCATCTCCTATCACTGTGTTATATGAATAGTAATATTCCTGTGAAAAATAAAAACATCTTTTTTATACTCATTACTGTATGTGTTGATTTTAAAATCTATTATACTAATGAGAAATACAGAAGTGAGAACTATTACAATGTTGATTTTCCAAACTATTTATATTTCCAAAGGTATAAATCTCCCCAAAATAATTGATTGGCCCTGTGTTTCAAACTTGTCCAAGATATTAATGATGTAATCCTTTGAAATAAATATTATTGAACTTCGGTGAGAAATTAAATTCATTTATCTTCAGAGCGCTTACAATGTCGTTTTTTTTTATATCAATTTACATTTCCAATGGGCATAGCTCCCTCAAAATATTCAATCAGCTCTCACTTTCCTGAGATATTACTGATTTTAACCTTTGAGGCACTGTTTATCATGTATAAAATTTTAATAGAATATTTCCTTAAAATTTTCTGGCAGTGTTTCTATAATAATCACCACCATTAAAACTTTCTTACAAGTGCCTTAACTTGGCTATGCTCACAATGGACTGGTGCTCAAAGATTGTTAAGGCATCCCTTTTTTTTGTGTTCTTTACTCTTCAGAATTTGATTACTTTGGATTTTGATTAATTTTTAATTGTCTGTCCTTTGCAGATGTCTTTACTAATCATTTATGTGTAATTTCATGGACAATGAAAATCTCATTTGTCTGTTATCTTCAAAACACTGCTCATTTACAAGCCTCCAAGTGGCAATTTTTGAAGGCCTTGCGCAATTACTTAAGATCTTTGCGCAATTAGTTTCTTTGTTGAATTAATGAGATGAAACGTTGAACTTTAATAAAAAGTTATGAGCTAACAAGAGAAAAATTGTTTAAGGTATGTTTTTACATCCCAAACTTGAGAATTTTAGGGGTTGTAAAAAGAAATTACTTATACAAGTTATTTTTTTTAGAAAATTAAGGGGAGATTATTCAAACCTTAAAAGAAAATATGAACATAACAAATTTACTTATATAAGTATATTATTATTTACTTCTTCAAGAAATTAAAAATAATTTGTTCAAGTAGTACCCCTGACAGACTGAAGGTAATGAGCCCTTAAATTTATAAATCTGTATGACTGAAACAGTTTATATGTTCATTGTGTAAAAATCTAGTAAAGTAACATGCATTTTTGGGTGTAAAATATGAACAACTATTATTTTAGAAGCAGAAACCAGAATTTAGTCTTTTTATAGTTTGGATATTAGAAAGTGTTAGTTTACCAATAAATATAGCAAAAGTTAGCTGCTTAAAAAATTACCCATTGCAGAATACAAGCATATTTTGTGCACATCTAATTTTACAAGTTTTGAGAAAGAAAATATATTTACTTGTAGTAACTGCTGGTCTTTAACAATCTGTTGCACTGGAACTGCCAGCACTTTCTTTGATAAAGCTGACCTAATAAATAATCTGCCACGTCCACAGTAGGTACATGTCTGTAAATAAATTCATTTAAGTCTTATACAATAAATAGCAACTGTTACAACAAATAAACTATTAGAACAAGTGAAACTGCCAGCTACTGCTCACTGATGATACCCCCAGCCCAAATATTTGACGGTAAACAGGAAGTTGTTGAGTGATGAATCTGAAAATGCATCACACAGTATAGCTGACTTATATAAACACTGAAACCAAATTTCAGAAATTCTTGTAATGTAGTTCCTGAGAAAAATGTGACGAAAATTTTCAACTTGGATGTGTTGTGTAAAATGATGTAAGTGTTTGGTAAACAGGAAGTTGTTGAGTGATTAATCTGAAAACGCATCACACGATATAGCTGACTCATATAAACCATGAAACCAAATTTCAGAAATCCTTGTAATGTAGTTCCTGAGAAAAATGCGACGAAAAATATTCATGGGACGGAAGGACGGACTGACGGACTGACGGATGGATGGACAGACAGAGGTAAAACAGTATACCCCCACTTTTTTAAAGCTGGGGTATAATAATAGAATATTGAGTCATTAAATTATAAACCATCTTCACCATATCTTTTAAAGCTTCGCGTTGTGACTATTACTCTATTTATACAAAAATTCCCCCAGCTTACCATCACATTACAAGCTTTAATAGATCCTGTGTAGTTGTATGTCACTGTATAATAAAAAGTAATACTGTAAATTCGATAGTGAGTAATTTTGGCCTTTCATAGCTTACTACAAATGTATATGGTATAAGTTATGCTCATTGTTGAAGGCAGTGACATATGATATTGTTGCTTACATCTATATCATTTTTTATCTCATATGTATTAATGCCATATCTCATTTTTTTTTTTTTATATTTTATCACAATAATACTGCACTTGTTATATGGACAAGGTTTTTTGCAATGTTTAAATAAATGAATATATTCTCTTATCAGACTTTATATGTACAGTTTGTGGTGTAACAATTTCATTTTTGTGTATGAGTTCAATACTTTTATTGATTTTTAAAGCCCAAACTTTTTCGTTGCTGTAAAATATATTGATCCAATACTGTAAACCAACTAATTTTCACAAGCAATTTATTTTTGTGACTTTTTTGAGTTGCATTATAATGCAAATGCTAATTTAATTGCTAATCCACTTTCAGCATCAGCACCACTGTTTAAACAGCTTGGGTGGATGACAGTAGAGAACAGAATCTCATACCATAAATCTGTTTTGTTGCATAAATGTCTTAAGTATGAAGCCCCTGTATATTTATCTAATATTGTCTGAGGAATATTGTCTTACAAAAAAATGCAAGTTCCAAAAGCCAAAACAGAGCTGCATTAGAAATTTTTTTATATATTCAGGATCTGTTTTATGGAATAACTTACCAGTATCCCTGAAAAAATCAACTGCAGGTACAAGTTCATTCAAAAAAGATTTAAATAAACTGCTTCGCTGAGCGCAGCTGGATACGCCCGCAGAGGTCAAAAATGGACACAATATTCAAGCTTGATACAGGTCTGAATTTGGATTGTATTAAATATTTGACATATTATAGGTTTCTGGATAAATGAATTCAAAGAACTTGAACTTGGTTATATGAATTGAATTTATATTTAATTAAGATTTCTTGCTGTTGTGCAATACACTGTGCTGTTGCGCAATACTTAGTAAATCTGTTGTCAGACTATAAACAATTAAAGTTCAATTAATTCTCAATGTCATATTAGAAATTTATAAAAATGTAAAGGGAGCTTACATCAATAGATATAAACAATTCACCAAAGTTTCATGAGAATTACTGACAGCATTTTTGAGTTATTGTCCGAAAACTGGAAAATCCCCCCTTTTTTAATGAATAAAACCCCATAACTCAGAAATGTAAAATGTAAAATTTATAAAATTCTAAACGGAGCTTACATCAATAGATATAAACAATTCACTGAAGTTTCATAAGAACTGCTGAAAGCATTTTTGATTTTTTGTCGGAAAACTGGAAAATCCCCCTTTTTTTATGAATAAAACCCTTTAACTCAGAAACGTAAAATCTAAAATATATAAAAATCAAAAGGGAGCTCATGTCAATAGATATTAACAATTCACCACAATTTCTTGCAAGTTGGTGAAAGCATTCTTGAGTTATTGTCCGAAAACTGGAAAATCCCCCTTTTTTAATGAATAAAACCCCATAACTTGGAAACGTAAAATCTAAAATTTATAAAAAATGACAGGGAGCTCACATCAATAGATATAAACAATTCACCAAAGTTTTATGCAAATTGGTTAAAGCGTTTTTGAGTTAATGTCTGACATGTTGACGACGGACGGACAGACGGACAGACGGACGGACGGACAGGCGGACAACGGTATACCATAATACGTCCCGTAAACGGGCGTATAAAAATTACTTGTTGGAACATTAAGAAGCTGTGTAATTTTATATGCATAATAATATTTCACTCATTTACTTAAACTTTAAATATTGTTGAGGTAATTTAAATGATGCCAATACTATATGAATTCACTATTTTTACCTGTTTTGAAAATTGCATATTTCATATCAATTTCTCATTTAATTTTTCTTATGTGTGTTATGTGATTATTTTGTAATTCTTTGTTTTATTATATTTCAATGTATTTCATGAGGGCCTCAGGGAAGATCAGTTTTGTAGCTAACTGTGTAACCCTCTTTAAATAGAGAATTTTTATTATTATTTTTAATGTAAGAAGTTGCGAATTAATATAATACAGATGTTCCTTTTATAAATACATTTAGAAAATAAGAAAATCATGAAATAAATGGCTGCATGTGAAGTCATCTAGAAAGGGCTTAGCACGAAAATAATTTGGTTTACTACTACTCCACAGGATCACATTTCACACATTGATAACTTTCTATGTGTACATTTTTTTTTCTTAAATAATATTTATGTGAACTGTCTTCAGAACTTGTCCTTTTGGAAATAGTTTATTCTTTATGTACATAATTTTGAAGAAAAAAAATTGATCAAGTATCAACCTAAGATTCTAGTAGGGATAACAATTCCTACCTTAGTAGATTTTTTGTATTCCCCTGTGAATAATACAATTTTACCAATTTAATATTATCTAATTATTTCTAACCCAAAAGATGCTTTTAGAGTTTTCATCAACACTGTCTCCATGACCTAGTAATAATTTGTTCTTTAGACTAGCATGAATTTAAAACATTTGATATCTAGTACCTTTTTACAATCTTTTACTGTATCTATCACCATGTGAAATGCTGGCTGATACCTGAAATACACATTTACATTTATACACTTGTACAATCATATCAATTTAAAACATATTTTCAGCCTAGTATCTATATAGGTAAATATTCAAGTATTCAGTTGGAAATATAATATATATTAAAAACACACTCATTCTTAAGAAACAGGCACAAGCTAAATCATTAATTAATCTATCTTTGCTCCCTTATAGTTCATATTTTCTAAATGTTTAAATGTCATAAAGCAGTTCAAAGTTTACATAGCAGTAACAATTTTATCTTGGTTACTCTCTAGTATTTCATTGGATCTGTTGATTCATTTATATTGGTGGATACTAATTTTCCTGGATTGAAGAAAAAAATTATTTTCTTGGATATTGAATTTTGTGGTTTGGCCAAAATTAGCATACAAGCCTATAGAAAATTTGCATTTCTTTGAATATTTAAACATGAAGTTAACCTATATCCACAAAATCCAAGAAAATGTGTACCCCTCTAATAATAACAAATCCACAGTATCTTAAGAAAAATAATCAAAAAAGGGTTTCTCCTGAAGAATGTTCACATTCACAAAACGTAATTTATCCCAATACTTACCTGTTTAAAACAGCTGTTTCAGCAACCCAGTTTTAAGATTGCTTTATATTCTTACCTTCCTTTTATTCCAATCTTTTCAATCCATGTCCAATACCTGTAATTTGTCTTGTTAAACCATGATGTGTCTGAAATAGCAAGAAATCATTAAATGTTCTACAAGCTCTCAAATGAAGCATTATATTTTATGAGACAATGGCTTTTTTCTAATGACCCTACCTTAAACAGTTTTGAATTATTGTTTAGAAAAAAATATATTGTGGCTTCTTTAATAATCGCCAGACACTAATTTTCCTGGATTTTGTTGCTGTAGGCATTCTACTTATCTAAATATTCATTGAAATACAATTTTTTTGTTATTTTAAATTGAAAATGATGTTACCACAAATTACATACTTTCCAAGAAGAAAATGTTTTATGACTTTTAAAATTCATAACCAGCAAAAATAATCATAATTATATAATTTTATTTCAAATGGATGTAACATGTCTTCTGATTGGCTGAAAGTTTTTTGTCTATCAGCTCATAGACATAATTTTGCCATCAATGTTTTTTCATGATTTACTCCTTAAAAATGGAATTTAGAATTAAATTATAAGGACTGACTGTAATATTTTTTATGTCTATTCGAAATAACCTAAAAAATGTGGTGCATGTAGGTTATTCAGTGTGCACCACATTTTTAAAGTTATTTCTTCATATACAAAAACAATATTACAGTCATTCCTAAAATAAAAGTGATAACCATACTTTTTTATATAACATATATACATTCAAATGTGTTTACATTCAATTTATAACAGTACATATATATATGTTGAAAATATTTTAAGAAATGAATCCTCAAGTGTTGTTGATGGTCAATTTGCGTTAAGCACTAAAGATGTGTGCAAGGTCAACATTTAAACAAACTTTAAAAGTACAAATAAAGAAACATTCAATTCTCTCAAATACAGTTTAACATTTAAACCAGAAAATTACATGTTAAATCACTCTGATGTTTTCGATGGGATGACAGGAATTGCTTCTTCCCAGTAGAAATGTAGTTTTTAAAACCTATATATCTTTGGATTGCTGTCTAAATGACACTTATCCAACATCAATTCACATCATAAACAACCAATTCTTTCTTAATTGCAGTTATTTAAGCTTAAACATGTTAAACTGGAAAACCTAGAATTGATGTCAGGGCAAAGTCATCAAAATGTTATGAACTTGTTTAAACAATAAAACAAATAATAAATATTTTAAATATTTCTTATACCCACAAGTTTCAAAGATAGGGATCTTAACACAAACAGGAGTTGAAATTTTCTGACAAACCTCAAGAGCTTATTGCTTAAATACAATGCTGAAACTTCACCAGCCGGACAAAAAAGCATTAGCTCATGTCTTGCATAACCAATTTTAATTTGTTTTATTCTATACCCATAATACTAGTATCACACATAAGATACTCAGATTTAACCTATGATGTACAGAAACCCAGCCATTTGCTTAATACTTTCATTGATACAAATATTTGGTTTGGAAATTTGTTTTCAGAAAGAAATCTGTTTTCCCACAATATGAATGAAAAGTGACATGGGCTAACTGTCTATTTATAGATTGCATTTCTGTAAATATTGACAATGCAATTTCCCATAGGAACTCCTTTTACGGCTAAAACTGTACCACTTTTACTATGAAGTTTTGAAAAAAATCACATCCTAGTTCATATGCACTACAATTTTTTTCAAAGGTCAAAATATAGGGCTGTGCGGCATATTTTCAACATTTATATGTCCCGAATTTCTAAGAGTTTACACTAACACTAAATTTCTTAACTATCCCTACCTTGACTGTAGGATTACCACAGATTTCAATATAAACAATATGCATATGTATATTTACTGGTAACATTCCCAAGTTATGTCTCTATGAGATGAAACATAGAGTAGAGAGGCCAGGCCTATATAAATACATGAAAATATAGTGTATAATTGACTTATTTGTAAAGATCTTGTCAAGACGAGCATTTTAAGCCCTTGTTTTTAAAAATCCAATGTACGGTTACAAAGTTATGATCGATTCAAAGTTGATATTCGGCCCCCCTTTTTTCTCCAAGATGGCTGCCAATAAAATCAAGTAGATTTCAATTTTAATAGGCATATTTTGTGGCAAGTAGTTAGTACTTTGCCTTTAAACACCATTTTCTATCAGAATACACTCTATTCTTCACAGAAATTCAATAATACTCATTTACATATGTTTTTAATCGATTTTTTTCAGCATCCAACAGCCTAGATTCCTCCATTCTGGCATGGCACAAAATGCCCGAACAGCCAAGTTGAACCATATTTTTCTGTGAAATTACAAATTAATGTATAGATTTACACTATACTAACTGTAGAACCTTGCCTGATTTGTTGAATTATGAGAACTTTGTGTGATAAAATGGAAAAATCAAAGAGTTCATGGTCTCTCAACATGTAGTCGCTATAATTTTTCCTGAAAAATCTAAATGGCACCGATAAACTAAGACATAGAGCAGCTTTTATTGAATAGAAAACAGACCAAAATTATCATATCTCTAAAACTGTGCAATGTATTGGGATGAAATTTGAAATTCAACATTGTGTAAAAGTCAATAGGCATGATGATGATAAATATAGATGTTTGACCGGGGAAATGGCGGCCATTTTGAATCAAGATGGCCGACATTTTGTCAATTTTTACCAGAAAAAAACATGTTTTCCTACATAACTCGCTCATTTCTTGACCGATTTTGAAAATCTTCGTACCAAAATAATGGTCTTTAATCCATCTTTTCATTGCTAATGATGCATATTTCATTTCTGCTATCAATAAAGAGCTTCACTGATTTTTTTGAAAATGTAAAGTTGCATAAAAACTGTGCGTAATCTTCAAAGAGAGCATGTTGTTTTGATGTGGTGTGGTACTAAGTTTCAATAGATGATTTTTTAAATGCTGATTCACAAGGTAACAGTCCTATCCTAATAGATAATCTGATTGGCCTAGCTAAAAGGCATACTAAATGCTACATTCAAACTAAATCTAAGTAAAGATAAAGCAAATACCAAATTTTAAAATCGTACCTTTGACCTGCTGTTTGAATAACCAGTATCCTGCACTTATTTAAACTAAATCTAACCAAAGATACAGCAAATACCAAATTTCAATTCTTAATGTGGATCTTTCCATTTAATATCTAGTAACATCCTGTATGCTGAACCAAAACAGTGCGAGATTTCCAAGGGCTATGTCCATGTATACACTGATAAATGATTTTTCAGGAATATTCATCTGTTTATATTCAATTCTCAAAAGAGGATAGCTTAAATCAAAACAAATTCATAATACTTGCTTAAGATTTTATTAACAAGAAATTCAGAAGATGCAGATTGATTGACAGTTAGATAACTCTCCATCCAAGACATACATAAATGTTAACTTAATAAACATGCATTTAGTTTTTCCCATCACCTCTTATAAACACAAGCAACAATTGAGTGAATCATTCCTCAACTGACCGACCCTTGAATCTAAAGAAAGTTTAATTATTTAGTTCCTGAAACATTATTCCAAATTTTTTGGTGCCTGAAACATACAAAAATTTTTGGTGCCTAAAACATATTTTTTTCCCTATCATTTAATGAATAAGAATATAATCGATACATTTAACTATACAATGTTGTCCAGGTTGTAGCCAGTTCCGAGATGAATCACTTATTTCCATCACCATTATTTTTTACATGCAAAATTAATATGCTAAACAAGAGTAGAAAATTATATTCTAAACTAAACTGGTTCCAATATATATTCAAAACAACATGTAAATAAATAATTGAATGACCTACAAAAAATAAAACAATGAAGTATTAATAGTTGGATTTCAACTGAAGTATGTTTCTGCATATTTTTTGTACTCCTCTGAAACTTCTTCAAAATTGGTAACATACCAAGACCTTCCACTAACATCTTTTGGTAATACACCAACATCTAAGAAAAAAACAAAAATGTTTTCAACCTTTTGTCTATCATTAATTTCAGGCCATTTGAAAAGATTTTTTGTTTTTTTAGAATGATGTAAAAATTTAATATCTAAAAAATTATCATTAATACATAAAATTTGTCCAGGATACCATGTATCTGCATAAGCCACTGCAACATATTGTCCACACTGAAAATTTAAGTTTGGTAAAACATAGTCACTGCTGGAATCAATATCATAAGTAGTAATATTAGTATTATTACACGAAATTACAGAATTTATAACTGAACTATCCTTTCCTCGTGCCTTTTTTGTAACAGGTTCTTGAGATTCAATTACATCTTTCCTTTTCTTATTTTTTATAAGACAGATTTTTTCTAAAATTATCTCCCTTTGTTTTTCCATAAAAATTAATCTATCACTTGCAGATTTTATTATAAAAGTTTCATTATTTGAAAAATCTTCTTCATTCTCCATCTCTTTTGAATTTCTTGAAAATTTAATTAAAATCTTTAAATGAGATAAAAGTTCTTCAAAATTAAACTGTATATTATTTGCAGAAAACTGAAGCAATGTTTTATCATCAGTGTTTGTTTTTAAAACCTTTTTGTGAAATTTAATTTGTGTTTTAACAGCTTCTGATTTATCTTCACTTCTATTACATTTTTTCAAGTTTAGATTTAAATCTTTCAAATTTAACCACAACCCTCCATATTTTTGAATTTCCATTGTCAAAGTTTTAACTTCATCCTGCTTTTTCAAAGCTTTTCTCTCTTTTTCTTCTTTTCTTTGCTTTAATAAAAGCATATGACTTTTTTTAATTTCCTCTTTTCTTTTCCTAAATTGTTTTATAATTTCTGGAGTTTTCTCCCTTGCTATTTTAAATACCTCCGCTTTTTTTCTACACTCATGCTGTCTAACCATTTTAATGTTTTATTATTTGAAAATAAAATTATGCCTTCTAATGCGATGGTGTTAGCGTTAGGCTTTTCACGCCTCAAGCGATCCAGATTAGCAAAATCTCTCTCAGAAACTATATTTGTTGTTGATACAGTTCTTGATTCAACACGCAAATCTTTATGTACACCTTCTGTGTTTTCGTTAAAAATACCACCAGGTAGACAGTCAGAAAG